TACGACTTCAGGAAGTATGCTCATTAAATTTGATCACTAGCTTGACATGTGGGCATCGGTCGCCTCAAATTAGGACTGCAGCCAGGATTCTTGATAGAGGCACACAAAATGTCACCAGCACTCGCGTCACTTCCAAAATTGTTGGAAAATCCGCGGCCTGGACTCCAGAACGCGCAAGACTCCAAGCAGTGGAAAGACCCATAACACCAGCTCCAATGACAACCACCCGATGTTGTTGATCGCAATGACTCCACCTGCATATCTTATATCATACATGGATCTAGGGGTGAAGGCTTATAGAATCTGCAAGCCTTACAGTACGCTACTGAATTTTCATGGTTTCCTCTTGCTTGCAATGTTGAGACAAGGGCCGTTTATCCGATCCGCAACACTGGGATCTCCTGGATCTGTAAACCCTGAGCCCTGAACAGTGCAGGAACACCAAGCCCACGGATCTTCGGGTTACAAACAAGGGCTGCGCAACACTACAACCGCTAAAGCTCCCTAATGGCTCAGGGGGCTTAAGCGTCCGGTAGGGTTTGGATTGTGGGGGTTCAGGCATGGAAGGGTTTAGGGTCTCACATGTCCCCATGACGCCGCAAATGGCTACGATATTTTTCGCCCGTAGCCGCCCGTACAAGATCCAGCGATGAAACTTTCCACTGAAACCAAAGAACTCGATGGCAACACTGCCTACGTCAAGCAGGCGTATGCGATACTTGCTTCCGCCGAATAAACTTGCCTGCGATGCTTTAGGCTGCAAAGCGCGCCAGCGCTCCCTGCCAACACGAATCGGGACATGAAGCTCGCCATAGTCAAGCACGTTGACTTATCAAGCTGGCAGCAACTGAAAACAACACAAGTAAAAACCTGCTTGCACACTGCACGCATCTGGAATGTCTTCTACAATTCTACAAGCTGAACACCCACAAGTGACCATATCTAAAAACCAAGCACGCATGCGGAGCCGCAGGACAAATGATGAAATCAAACCAAATGCCACGCACATAAACCAGCGTACTAACTAGCGGCAATGAACGCAACACAAAAGACTCACGTAATGCGAAAAAACAAACATCAACGTTTTGAGAAACGTCTGCCGTCTCGCAATCCGGTTGCTGAAAAAAAATTGCAGGATATGCCTGATTTGCCAATTAGACCGGAGCACGATTTGTTTTGTTTGATCCTTGCGTGCTGCGCAGCAGAAAGTTAGATTGTCGCATTTCTGTGCAAAAGTCTGATTGAAAAGCCTGGGAAAATTGCTGCCCACTGTGTGCAAATGCAAGCCTTGTTCGACAACGTTTGGCATTTGGACCCTTTGGATAAGAACTCTGAATCAAGAGTACCTGTCAAGTCATCAACCTTGTATTCTGCAGGTCCAGAAACCAAGCTCCATGTCCGAAAACATATAGGAAGTGATCGCTCAAATATATATTTTATATAATGAAAGATGATCAACACAATATTAGCCCAGCGGACCGTGCGCCATCCACACCATCCATGCGAACAGAAATTCAACTGAAGATTTCATCCATTCGATCAATCAAGTATTGAAATCCAAACAATCAAGGATCAATCAAAATTTAATCCCATTCACGGATTAGGAATTTGAACTTTCATTACAAATTGCACATCCACACATGACAGCCGCATTCACTCGGTCTTGTCACATTTTCACTCTCAAAAGGAAAATGGATCTGAGTCAGATTTTGATAGGCCATGCTTGAAATGTTTGCCACACTTTGGACAGCAGTGCCAGTCACGCGGTGATGGACGCAACATGGAGCACGCCCGTGCATCCCTTGGTCAAGCAAGCAGTTCCAAGCTATGGAACCCGACTCAAACCCCATCCTGTTGCACATTAAATGGTGGAAAGATAGCAGGAAGTTCTCGCAGGATCACATCTGGCCCATGCAAAACCATGCATTCTCCGGATCTTCGGGCGGGGCTTGAGTGACCTGGTACCCTCCCGTATCTCGGACGGCATCGGGAGTCATCCTCCAGATCCAAGATGGCACGAAGTATGGTCGACCCACTTATCGTAGAGGACCGGCATCCAATCAAGGCCCGTTGCGCGGCTTCGTTGTCAAGATAGAAAACATTATACGACTCGCGGATGGTGCCAGCCCACAGTTCAAGGGCAACCCACACGGCCAAAAATTCAATTTCAAAAAAAGGATGCTCTGATTGCTTATGCAGTTGATTCAGGTACTCGCTTGGCACCCGACCTGAGAAGAATGACAAAACTGTTCCTTCAGTAGCACAGGGAATCTCACCCAAGCCAGCCTTTTCACCTTCCAGACAGCGATTGGCAAAGATGTAAAAGGTTTGTCTAACACGTCAGCTTGATTGAGGGACTTTCCAAGGCATGATCCTTGAGGTACGTCACACAATTGGTTGCCAAACTTCGCCACACCAATGCCTTGGGCGCGCCTTCCCAGTACGCGGATTTAACGTATTGGCCAAGAAAGTATGCTAATTCAATAACCTTCATCAAATATATCAGAGAGCAAAATGATAAAAATCGAATCTAATCAAATCAATCAGATTCATCAGAAGCGTCCACATTACTGAACATGCAAGACTGCAAGCAGGAAAGGCCGAATTCTATTTCACAGCTGAGGATCACGCAATTCAAAGTTTGAGGGAACAGAGGGGAGCAATGCAGATGCCAGCCGCAACTGCTGAAACGAAAGGGTAGCATCACGCACCCTTACCTCCCCAGGGTTTTTTTTTCTTTCTGAGCTCCACGATGTCAAGCGTCGTGTGAGAGGACTTCATTCATCAACTTAATGATGAACGGCCAATCTGAGTGGGCACTCCAAGGTTGACATGAGAGTTTCACGTCAACAGTGAACAAGCAAAAGTTCCATGATTGGCATTTGCAATCCCGGAATTGGCCTACAAGAAAAGCCCTGGCTATTATGATGACGGAGTTTCACGCACAAAGAACAACTTATAAACATCTTCCGAAATATCATCAAAACTCCTGAGAACTTTCGCCTTACATCCATCATCACAGTAGCGGACGGAGACTAGCCTCATCCCCGTCCTGGATGAGCAGCGCTCTATAGTGCCCGCATGCGGCACTTTCCCTTAGGTGGACTATACAAGCTCTCAGCCGGAAACTGACCTCAGATAAGGACAAGGTTGCATTGTTGAAAAGAGGCATTTGGATCCCAGCCGCCCACTGCATTGGTGATCGTATCTTGGCCACCCCAGCACTGGCATCCTGCTGAAATCTATTAATGCGAAGGACCAGCCAGCGTGGACTCTCAACGATTGCATGTGTGTATGCCTGCTGACGCCATCTGTTGATTGCATCTTGTAGCATCCAGTGTCCTTCAGGAGGAGGGTCAATGTTAATGGCACCCTCACACACTCCAGCATCCACTATACGCATGCCATGCGATTCCAGGATTCTGGCCTCCCATCTAGCATGAAAAGGCGTAGCCTGGCATTTCTCCAGCACCAGCATGATATATTCACGCATGTCATGTTGCCTGCCTCCCTGTCTCCACCCCTGTTGCAACGCACTCCAAGGAAAAAGCTGTGTCACTGCAAAGGACTTGGCCTGTGACATGATTGTATGCCACGCATTTGCCCCACGTCCCATAATCGAGACCTGACCACCAGTGGTATTCAGCATCCATGTCACTGCACGCACAAAGGAATTGATGTAACACGTATTTCCAGAGTTTAGCAGTTTCAGTTAAGTAGCTACCCATACAGCATCTCCTCCGCCAGTTTGGCCACGCCGCTGCGCTGATTGCGTTCCTGTCTGACACGACTCTTCAGAAGTTTCAGCACCATGTTGTCGCATAGCTTGCTGAGGTTTTGATGCGTTCGCTGGCCAGGACTGACTGGAAAATGACCAGGCATGCCACAACATGACTTTTGGCATCCTTGGAAACTGACCCACACACTGAACATGGAACCGTGATGTCGGCCTGCTGTGTCTTGCAAATCCTCTCTATTCGATTTTTATGAGGGTTCCAAACGTCCTTGTGTGACTTGGCTAGATGCATCTTCACTGCTCTTTTGGATGCGCACCATGTACCACACAGACAGCACCACTGAGCCAGCTGTTTCCTCCATTGCACATTTTGAACAAGAGATCGCCAGCCGCCTGGCGGACAATGCTGTGAACCTCTGGGCATAATGCTGTAGGCAGGTAAGCGTCCTCCGTTTTGTCAGCGTTTGCGGTCCTTTCCTTGGCCTGATCACCAGCCTTGTGCGTCGGCCCGCTTTCAGAAACTGGAAATTGGCATGCCCTGTGCTCAATGTGATTCCTCAATCTGTCCCAGGAACTGAAAAGGTCTTTGCATCCAGAGCACCTAGGCCTGCCACCATAAGAATGCAAAAGCCTATTGAAGGTAGGTCGACTAGCCTGCGCGTGCGCTTTAGCAATGCGCGAGCCAAGTACCGTCTTGTTAACCGTTAACACATTCATGACCACAATGTGGGCACTGCAAGAAAATTCTACCCTCTGGGCCTTCATGCTGCAAAATCTGGTCAAGGCTACTCAGATTGCGTTGTCGCCAATCCATGATCGCCTGGCTGGCCTTGATGGGGATGCTGGCATCGCTTTCAACGTTGTCTCTCCATTTCTCAACCAGCTTGCTCATGCGTTCTCTGATGTAGGAGCCGGGCTCCTTCACATTGCCAATATGTGCAAGATGTGCTCTCTAAAGTGTTTTTGAACCAGTACCCGTATTTTGCGCAAACCACTGAGTGTCACACCCGAGGAGTCAAAGGCATAGTACAAAGCGGCACCAACACATGCTTTCCAAAGGTGGATCCTGGCACGTACCGAAAGGTTGCTGCGGCTGGTGAGGACTTTGCGGAGCCTACCATATGTGGCCCTTGCCGAAACGACGCGGTGCTGGACCGCGGCGTCCATGAAATTGTCATATGAAAGTTGCGCACCCAGGCACCTGGCTTGCGTACATATTGGGAGCCATCGTTGCTGTTTGAAAGCCGAAAGGCGCAGGAAACGGCTACCCTTCCTGTTTCGGTGTACTTCTTGAGTGCCTGCTTAGCATGCGTGCCCCTGATCTGCAGCAAGACTTGTGTTTTGGTATCATTCCCATCCAATCCAGCCTGCGCCGGACACTCGAAGAAGAACTCCACCTGTCGTATGGCCGAAATTAGTTCTGATTCCGTCTCTGAAAATGTTTTGGCTTTGAGCAACACACCTTC